CTATGGTAGGCCTTGGTCGCCTCTTCGCGTGAAGCTTTTACTAACAAGTTCCCCAAAGGTGTCGGCGGCAGCATCAAGCACGACATTGCTGACATGTTTTACACCTCCTACGGATACCCTCGTGTCTCGTCTGGTGTCAACCGGACCGCTCTCTCTGAGAAGTCTAGGTACGGTTTCCAAGCATACAAGTGAAGGGAGACAACAGACTTACACCCATCAACAGCTTCACCTTTGACCTCTCCCTCGCCAAGCAAGACTTTGTCAGGCTCCAAGTCGCTCTGACCTGGGGCTCTCGCCAGGTTCGCTGGGATGTAAGCAAATACTCTTTCTCCTCTCAAAGAACCGAGGAATACTAACTCCCGTCTTCCCTGCAGGTCTACGAACCCACCTACCAAGAACGTGAGTGGGTATACCCTCCCGTCGTCGGCGAGAACAAGTACGTCGGCTCCGTCGCCAGCTTCGACGTCTACAACAGCGTCAACTACCCCGTCTTCGATCCGGCCACCGACAGCGTGAACAACACCTTCTCGTACCCTCTCCAGGACCAGTCTCGTGATTCGCCCTACGAGTCGTGGTGGCTTGGCAAGCTGGCGGATGGAAGCCAGATAAAGCCTGGAAAGTACAAGTCAGTCATCCCTCACCTGGATTTCATACCATCTATGTGGCCACGTAGACTAACACCCACGAACTAGGTGGCGTATCGCGGCTTTGAAGGCCTTTGGTAACCCCAAGGCGTCGGATAACTGGGAGATTTTCGAGACGCCTGTGATTGAGGTCCTTCCGCTTGCCGGAAGCAATGCCACCGCTTTCCGGCGTTGAAAACTCTACTACGATCTAATGTAATATCGCTCTCCAACCCCTGTAAATTCAGGGTAAATCCAAACCACTTTTTCGTGCGTCCCAAGTGCTCCAAATGTAGTCCCATCAGCCTGCAAGTGTATCATCAATCCATCGCAACCAACTCATCACCAGCCGCACTTGGCTTGCCCGCATCAACGTCCTTACCTATCTCCTTACCAAAGATACTCTTCTCGTCAAAGAAATTTACCTCCTGCTCGAGGGCAGCCTTTGCGAGCCGGTCCGCCTCCTTATTCTCCTTCTTCGGCACCTGCCAAAACTCCACCGCCACGCCCGCCTGGCCCAGCGACATCATGGTGAGCATCAGATTATCCCACAGATCCTCGTTCTTGACCTTTTCGCCCTTTGTGTTCTTCCACCCGTTGGCGAGCCACTTCTTCATGTGCGGCGGCTCGCCGTTCCTGCCGCCCGCGACACCCTCGACGAGATACGCCGAGTCGCTCTTGACGACGACGTGGTGCAACTTGAATGACGGCTGCGACCGCCGCGACAGCGACCGCATGGTGGGCAGTCCCTTGGTGGCAATCGTCGTCGCCTCCATCAAGCCCACAATGGCGGCGTAGAGGTCCGCGCGCTGCTGCGTGTGCTGCGGGCGGTCGCGGCCGTCGCTGCCGTCCGTGTCCTTCATGACGTGGCCCCGGTCTTTGGCGTCGGGGATGCGGCAGGCGCGGTTGAGCGGGTTGCCGGGGCCGAGGTGGACGCCGACGGCGGACTTGGTGGGCGGTTGATCGGGACTGTTCTGGGGCGGGCAGACGCCGTGGACGGCGATGACGAGGGAGTCAGTGTGGTGGGAGAGAGCCGCCGCGGGCTTGTCGTCGTCGTCGTCTCCGAATTGGATGGTGCGGACCGTGATGTTGGTGTTGGCGAGGGTGGTCCGGGTGAGGGCGTTGTGGCAGCGTACGTGGACGAGGTTGAGGGGCCCGTGGGAGCCGGGGAGTTCTAGGTCGGTTGGGTTCTCGCCGTAGAGATCTGTGTGGTCGTGGGGGAAGCGGCGGACGACGTAGCCGTCTGAGTTTGGCTCGACGAGGAGGCCGACGGGGTGGTTGGCGTGAGGGTCGTGACGAACCATTTTGGCGGGGTCGTGAATGGCGGTGAATTCGTGTCGTGAACGAGGTTAGGGATCTCTGTCGGCGAGGTTTACGATCCGTCTTAAATGTTTGAGCGGTCCACAGTTATGAGATAATAAAAGTGACAGGTGAGAAGGATGAGATGGATGAGAATGAGAGTGGCAAGCGTGAGAATGGAGTGAAGTGGAGATGCAGCGTTCCATCAAAACTGCACTGCCGTTCCCACTTTTTCCCCGGTCCGCTTTCTTCTGTCTCTCGACTAACTGTCAGACTAATGAAATGTCCAGTGCTACCAGAATCGGATATTCGATGGGCTGTGAATCGTTCTCGAGTTTCCCAAGGATGTCGTCGGATTATCACCCGTATTCCACTTTGCCTGAGGTGGAAGATGAGAAGACGCCACAGGAGAGGTCTTGCCGGGCCCGGCAGACAGATAGTGGGTTCCGGATGCCGACCGGGCCCGCTTTCACGCCGAGTTGCACAATACTTCGTTCACAGGTCCAGGACCACGAGTGCCTTTGCAGGAAGGCGAATATGTAGAAATAGCGCACGCCTCCACTTGTCAAGTTAGATCTGGCTGCAATGGCTAACGTTTGACAGCCCCCAAACCTACCAAGAATATCGTGACCTTCCATCACCAAATGCAGGCGTTTGATGGATGCTCATCAGTATTCAGGACTCGCTTTACGATCTCGATTCAGGGAGAAATGCGCGACCAAATTAGAATATCCACTTCTCACGCCGAATTAAAAGGCTAATGTATTAATGTAGTCATGAGTGTATGCATCTTTTCAAGTGAAAGGGGGATGGGATCTCGGCCATGCCCAGTGATTCTGGAGTTTTTAACAATGCTTGATTGCTGACTCTACTTCTATGCGCACCTAGTTTCCCCATGCTGTACCATAAACCATGCTTTCTCATACTCGTTGAAGTCAAAATTACTCAGGGCTTCCTTCGATTGCCCAGCAGGACCGACGTGCCCGTAACGATGTTCAGTCTTCTAGTGACGTCTTCGAGGGAAGCGGAAAACCTTGCCCACACCTTTGCCCTCGGCCTCGGAGCGTTCAAAGACATTCGATCTTCAAACACTCTATAAGACCATCACTGTTTGCGCATTTCGGGCAGTAGCTGGGATCGGTATCGGGTTCTTGGTAGGCATCAAGATAAAGCTCATGGTTGAGACAGTAAGTCCTGCCCGGCTCGGCCTTGTCGACGAAGCCGATGATCAAAGTACCTGCTCTTCCAACTTCTTGATCACGGCTCTGGCCTCCTCAAGCTCGGTCTTGATACGTTCGTGCTCTTCCCTCAGCTGGCCGAGCTCGTTGGCGAGGTTGATCCTCGCCGCGCTCTCCCTCTTCCACCATTCTCTGGCGATAGCAGGCCGACACTGGCGATTTTCCGTCCGCTTCCGAAAGAGCAAGAAGTCGAGCTCCAGTCTGTCGTGCCTGCGTCTGAGCTCTGCGGTCTCGGTGTTCACTCTGCCCGGGGTTTCTGCGCGCCGAAGGCCTTCCGCGGCGCCAGGTGCCTGTGCGCCGGAGGAGTTGCGGACGGCAGTGCTCTCGCCTCCTGTGAAGGAGCGCATCAGTGTTTCGAATTTTGACTGCGATTTCTTGATGGAGTCCAAGACTTGAGGGGCGGTCTGGAATGGCTGAATTGGCTGCGGCTGCGGCTTTGCGGTAGACATGGCACCTTGGCTGGAGGACGCGGTTTATGCTTCTGCAGTTGGCGGAGGATGGAATGTAGCTCGATCTGTAAAGAGGTGTTCTGGACCTCTACTAGTCCAGTGGGAGTCTTAAGTACCCAACCCGAAGGTATGGGTCGAGTGTCCACTCTTCCTCGACGGCGAAATATGGCATTGAGATCCATCTTGGTGTCGCTGGATGATGGCTGGCTGCATTGAACGTTGGAGAACAAAAATCCCAAGGGGCATTATCGATATCATAACGGTATATAAAGCCAGGTCTCATCGATTTCGTGATTCAAAATGCGCTCGTCCACTACATTCCGGGAGATGGAAGCAAGAAAACCGGGCCCCTTTGAGGAGTGCATTCAGAACCTCAGGATGACTAGCCTTCAAACAAAGAAACGCTACATTCTAAATTATATGCATGGTTACAAAATAAAAGAAATCCTAAATCTTACCTTGGATGGATTTCAATCCCCTTGTTGTCTTGAGGCATCAGCCTTTAACGTATACAGAGCATGACAGAAGCCACCGTTCCGTAGATAAGTGGACGACTTTTAGAAGCGGAGACAAATAGAACTCTTTTAGGCAGGCTATGATTTATTTGAAATATGATCTAAAGGTCACAGGTTTTCGTTCGCCTACTAAGTACATACCTAGACAGCTTCGGGAAACGAATGGATCTTGCTCCAATACTCCGTATGTGTGCTCTAATCTGGCCCCGTAGTTTCAATGATATGCAAGACCGTATCCTAGAATATGGCAATCCATTATTTGGGTTGACTAGAGGCAACTCCGCCCATCTTTACTTTCCTCGGTTCCGATGGCGTGTAAACAGTCCCGGAGGGCTCCGGCAAGGAAGCCCCACACACCGGCGCCGACTTGCATACACTTGCCGTGCCGAGTCCGTGCACCCGGGCGGAACGCACTCGTCCCCACAGCTAGAGAGCCAAAAAAGTCCGACAGGGGTCTCTGTCGGCCAACGGACGAACACTTAATCCGTCGCAATCGCGCATCGCCAAAATTTCGGGTCCCTACCAAGCTCTCCATTGCACCACCCAGCCCCAACCCGCAGCCTCTCACCAAGGCGTATCCACGACACCAACCAGCCGACGAAAGCAACAAGCGAAACACGAGAAGAGAGCCAATCGACCCAAGACCAAGTCCAGCCTCAGCGCAAACCCCGACCGCACACCCGCGAACCCCCCCCCCCCCCCCCCCCCCCCCCCCCCCCCCCCCCCCCCCCCCCCCACCACCCCCCCCCCCCCCCCCCCCACCCCCCCCACACCACCCCCCCCCCCCCCCACCCCCCCCCCCCCCCCCCCCCCCCCCCCCCCCCCCCCCCCCCCCCGAGCTCGGGCAATAGAGCCGACAACCAAAGCCCGCCCATCATGAGACCCTCACCCGTCCTCCAGGTGCTCAAGTACAGGCACCTGAAGCTGACGACCAAGGACGTCAACAAGGGCTTCTACAAGGGAAACCGGACGGGCGCCATGGGCCGCCACACAAAGTACGGAGGTTACGTGATTGAGTGGCACAAGGTGCGGACGTACGTCGTGCCGGAGGGCTTGAAGGATTTCAAGGTAAGGAGAGAAACCGCGGGTACACCGAAAGGCGGATGGGAGACGGACGACTGCTCGATTCGCGGAATGCTGACGTGTCGAGTGTGTGTAGCTCACGCCCTTCGTCTCCGAGGCTGTGCGGCCCCTGAGGGGATCGTACCCCACGAAAGAAGGCCCCCGCGACCCCAAGCTCTACCTGGAGAACTGGAAGCAGGTGAACGGTGTGGATTAAGTGGGGAGGAGAGAGAGAGAGAGAGAGAGTCTGCATGGCTGGATGACGAGGAGAAACTCGAGGAGAAGAAGCGAGAAGGGGAAGCGCAGAATTGGAATCTACTGCTGCTACGGAATAGGAGGAACAACACGAGAAATAAGGGGCAGGATCACGTTCTCGCCCCAAAACAAGAGTGTACAAGAGCTGTATATACCCTCGACGCTGTAACAATATGTAAAAAAAGACAAAGTCACATCCAACAAGCATTTTGCGCATATCCACGCGGAGGATGAGGGTTCGCCAAGACCCCAAGTGCGAGAGTACAAGCTTCCCCAAGGGAAACCATGACGATCAAGATTTGTACACACACTACGATTCAAGCTTCTTACATACTTATTCTCATTCATACAGCAAACACGTCACGCAGTCTGCTCCGACCCCCCGTGACCCACAACCTCCTTCCCCTTCCCCTTCGCAAGAGGCAGATCCTCCGCCGCCGTGACAAAGGTATCCAACGGCGGCCTCATACCCTCACTCTCCGTCGGGACTTGGGTACTCGCCTGGGAAGCAGAGATCCCGTTCCCGTTGAGCTCCACCCCGTCAGTCGTCGCGCCTGTATCCGACCGGTTCAGCTGCGGCATGGGACTGATGGGCCGACTGTCGGCGCCCGACATGAGCGTCACCATGCTCGCCGTCTCGGCGTCCTTCTTGCCGAGACTGAACGGCAGCGCGATGCCGTCGAGGAAGGGCCGCTTGCCCGCGACGCCGGTGCCGCCGGGGACGAAATCTGGGCTCAGGTGATTCCCGTCGGCGGCGGCGGCGGCGGCCTGCTCGTTGTGCTTCTCTTGTTCTTTCCTCTTCTCGATGAGGGCTGCTACCGGTGTCGTCGTCGTCCCTTCAACTGCCGTGGTCTGTGACTCTTCCATCTGCGTGGAAGCCGGCGTCTCCTCCTCTTCCGTCTGATGCTCGTCCCGGACGAAACGCCGCTTGCTGCCCGTAGGCGAGCCGAGGGGCGCCGGATCCTGGTGCTCGATGTCCTCAAAGGACCTGGCTCCCTCACCGCCCCTGGGCGAAGTCTGCTGCGACTCCCGAGTTTGCTGCGACGTCCTGCCGGCGGCGGTGGCGACAGCATCAGAGTCGGCCTTCTTTTCTCTTTTCGTCGTCGTCTCGTCGTGCTTGGAGCCCCAAAGCGACCACAGCGCCAGGCCGATACTCTTGGTCTTCTTCCTGTCCACCAGCTCATCCGATGCCTTTCGTCGACCGGCCAGCGCCGTGGGCGGCGGCTGCTCGCCGTCGCCGAAATCCATGTACCCGTCCGCCAGGTCCCTGATGATGCTCTTGTGGACCTTTGCTTTCGCGCTCGAGAACTTCTTGTCAAAGGTGGCTTTGGTGTCGAGCCACCGCCTCACGGGCGTGGGCCTGACGACGCCGACCTCCTCCGACTTCATGACGCAGCCGTCCAGCTCGGATTCGGGAGGTAGGTCGGAGACGACGCCGCGCGTGGAGATCTTTTGGCGGATCATGTGCTTCTTGAAGGGCGGCAACGGCATGCCCGCCTTGCCCACCAGCTCGGGAGGCTGCCCCCCGCCGGCGTGGTCCTCCGTCTGGTCCTCCTCTTTATCCGAATCCGAGGTGGAGCTGGAAGAAATTGTGGAAATGTCGTCGTCGTCCAGGATCTCAATCTCCGTCTGCTGCGCCCTCGCCAGCGCCCAGGCGCCAAACTGCGCGACGGCGCGGTACATGTGCTTGGCCGGGCGTGTGAAGCTGAGTGTCGGGGCGACGTGGCAGAGGTCGTCCCAGACCTGGAGCTGCACGTCCGTCGGCTTGTACTGCTTCAGCTGCGCCAGCCCGGCGTCGTCGAGACCCGGCGGCGGGTACTTGGCGGGATTCGCGCACTTGTGTGCCACGTAGATTTGCTCGTCGCGGAGGACCTCGCCGCCGCCCACCATGATGAGGAGCGGCGGGAGGCCGCCCAGCGTCGGTTGCATTACCGGGCTGACCATGGGATGTGAGAGTAAGGCATTGGTCGTGTACATCTGGAAAGGGCTATTAGTATATCATGTGAGTGGAGGAAGCTCCCCTAAGAAGACTTACTTGGATTTGGTCCTTGACTGTGGTAAGCTTCCCGTCAATGGTGACGGAAAGCTGCAAGGCCGTCTTTGTGGGGTCCGCGTTACCAGAAGAGTCAGAGGTGCCCCCCAGCGTCTCGTTGCCGTCGCCCAGCGCGATGGGCGCTGCCTGCTTCTTCTCGAGCGTGTTAAGCTTCGTGGCGCTCTTCTCCTTGCCCGCTCGCGCCTTAATGGCCTGCTCCCTCATCATCTCCATATCGTCCTCGTTCGGCGGCGGCCAGGCCCGGGATGGTTTGTGGTGGAAGCCGGACGAGGGGATGTAGTCCATCTGGTTATCTCCCGAGACGCTGGGAAACGAGTGCGTGAGGTCGACCCAGGGGCTGATGAGGACGGCGCCCGCGGGTAGGGGAATACCGCGGTCTCGCAGGATACACAGCATCGAGAGCACCATACCGCCGCCGGCCGAGTCGCCGGCCAGGACGATCGTGGTCGGGTCCTGGACGGTGAGGAGATAGAGGTAAGCGGCGAGACAGTCCTGGAGGCCGCAAGGGAAAGGGAACTGCGGCGCGAGGCGGTACCGGGGTGCGAGGACCCTCGCCTTCAGCTTGCGGGCGTGCCGCTGCATCTGGTAGCGGTGCTCGTCGACGCTGCCGAAGAAGTAGGCGCCGCCGTGGACGTAGAGCATCACCCTCTTCGTCGCGCCGCCGTTCTTCTTGCGCTCGTGGTAGTCGGCGCGCATCTCGATCCACTCGGCCTTGAGGGGGCTCTGCGGCTTCCGCCACTTCCACCATTTGCAACCCCCTACGGCCCGTACGCCTCGGGGTCCCAGTTGGGCCTCGATCAGGCCGGCCGACTTCTCGAGCTCGGTCTCGGGGATCTCGACGTCTTCTACCTTGACCCATTGCGGGTGCGGGACCCATTGGGCTGTAAAGGCTTGGAGCTCCTCGACGGTGTGGTGGGAAGCGAACTCGAGGAAGGATCGGACGAGGTGCAGGCCTTCATCGTAGGATAAGTGGGAGTTTGGTCCTTGCTTTGAAGTTTTTCGATTGAGGTACTGTTGTGAGATTGAGAATTAGTCAATTGCACTTGCGTACATGGTCATTGAGCTGTAGCTATCGCGGTAGGGGTTGCATTGCGTATTCTGTGACGAAACAAATCCGGGGGAAGCTGGATTCAGGGACGACCTGACACGGTTGTGAATAGGGGATTCGGGAGAGACTCACATGTGAAAAGAGGGTGGATACGACGGTTGGCGTGACCGCCAATGACACCGACGTGGTGTTCAGCTTCAACGGATTCATGATTTCTCTCTCGTGTTCAGTCCAGTCCAGTCCAGTCCGGCCCGGCCCTCAGATCAGAAACTGAAGGGAGCAACAGAATCCTCCTCCCCTCGGACGGTGGCGGGGGATCTCTTGGCTTTTGAAAGCTTCCTCCCCCTTTGACGAGTTGGTGGACGATCCTATATTGTTTGTGGAACAGACCATCATGTTCGCTTCGAGGGAGCCCGGAGCGGGAAGCACAGAAGAAGGCCGCAACCCTGAAACTTCCACACCCCAGAGGGCTAGAGCTCACTACCGGAATAGGGGACCGATGACATCACTTGCAGCGCCCAAGTGGATGAGCCAATGTCCGCTGGGCCTGGTCGACCGGCCGTAGCTTCATCGCCAGCTGCCGGGATCATGAATAATGAGCTGGTCTGGCTGCCAAGATATGCAGTGCTCTCTCAAGATGAGTTATTGAGATTTAAGCGACATTTCAGACGTAGGCAATCGAGCAGCTTGCACGTGAGGTCAGGTAACGAGGAAGCTCAGGTTCCTTTTCAGGTGTTTTCAGCTGCCCTGCCCGTACGGGGCCCTGGCACACGCCTCGCTCACGCCTGGCTAGACCCGAAAGCGGGACCGGGATGGGGTGGCCGTGGAAAACCCCACACAGCACAACCGACAGTGCAAATCGTCGCATGCACTATCCACCCTACAGGGGAAGCGGGAAAAAAAAATTGTGATCTGGATATTTGGCAACGAAAACTGTCACCGCACCCCGAGCCAGAATCTGCCCCTCCATACCTTTTTTGATACCCCGCGAAAGAGCAGCATCACCAAACAATGGCGACCACCGCCCCCATCACGGCAGGCAAGTTCACGATCCAAACACGCTGATGCCCAACATCTCTACAACATTGAAAATCCTAACACCCGAAAATGTAGAGGCCTGCCAGTCAACCTTTGAACAAGCCGTCGCCCTCTCCCTCCACATGTGGCCCGCCCTCACCCTCGCCGTCCAAAACCACTGGGGCGGCCCCGACTCCGCCGACAAACGAGACTGGTTCGCCGGCGCCGTCGCCGACATCTTCCCGACTTTCACAAAAATCACGGCCGCAGGCCAGGCAATGCCCGCCACGGCCGCCGCCGCCGCAGAGGAGCCCGACACGGGCTACGTCGAGACCATGCTGCTGCAGGTCATGCTCGACGAGTTCGAGGTCAACGTCGACGATGAGACGGGCTACGACGTCGCCGAGCAGATTGTCAAGCTGCGCGCCGAGTGCGCCAAGGGAAACTTTGCCGCCGTCGACGAGCTGCGCACCAAGTGGGAGAGCCGCAAGGGCGCCAAGGTGGAGGGCTTGTATAAAAAGGTCGAGGCCGGCGACCAGGATACCGATTGGGAGGACGACGACAGCGAAGACGACGACGAGGATGATGTCGAGATGGACGATGCGCCTCAGCTTGTGCGTGCGCCAAAGGAGAAGCAGGAGCCCGAGGTCGACGAAGACGGTTTCACCACGGTCACCAAGAAGAAGAGATAAAGGATTTTGTCATATGAGCAAAAAAGAAAAGAAGCGAAGACAGAGAGAGAGAGAAGAAATACCCCCTCCAGCACCGCGACTTTGGTTTCTCCAAACAGCAAATGCTTCACAAAGGAGCCCCGCGTGGCTGATGTACAAATGTCCGCATAATT